GTCGGGAAGAGCCAGAACCTACAGGAACTGTTGATTTTTAATACGTTTTTTCAACCAAAATGTCCATTAGGTTTACGCGTATTATGCATCTATTGAGGGTGTAGATGAGGTAGGTTCTTACTGTATCTTCAGTCATCCCACTCCACACCCTCACCCTCAAATTTCTCGTTATAGTATTTCAGCCAAATTAAATTCAAAATATTCATCCGTTGATTTTCTGTTTGATAATGCCAAATCTTTTCTACTAAGATTTCATTGATGTTTTGTATTTTGAGATCAAACATTAACATTATATTGCAGAGATTTGAATTTTTTGTTAATAGTAAATTTTTTAAACGTTAAAGTTTTCGTAATAAAGAAGAAAATATTTGAAATAATCAATATTAATGATTGAATGATGCAATCATTGCTATTTTTATTACTTTTATTTATAAAAACTTATATTTTTCTACGAAGTAATGTAATTTATATTTATCTATTTTAATGTGTACCCTTTCAAGGACATTCTTTACCTGTTCACTGTAAAACCTTTAGAGTGGGATTTCGCTTTCCCATGGGGGTGTTTAATGTATTCAGTACAAGGAGAACAGTAATGCATTATATATCTAATTATAAATAGGTACGTCATAGAAGAAGAAAAGTCATGCGTAGTATATCTAATTATAATTAAATACGTCATACAAGGCCAAAAACCTATTTTACGCACCGGGTTTATCGATCTAGTATAAATAGATACCGAAAATATTTCATATTTAGTAAAATACGTATGGAAATTGTAATATATCTGTTAATATTAACTTGTTCAATTACATTCTTTGATCAAGGTAAAAAGAAAATATAGTTTCATATAGATATTTTATCACATTGTTTTTTTTTTTCTATTTTAGTTAATACTCAAAATTGTAAAACTGAAGGATGTCTCGATAATCTTTGTTGTTCACAATTTGGATAGTAAGATAAGAATTTCATATTATAATATTAACATTTAATCTATTAATTTAGTTGTGGAAATACACCAGAACATTGTGGTGGTGGTAGTACAACAGTATCATCTTCATCAAATAATCAAATAACTATACAACGTATTGTATTTTTCATAGTGAATAATTTTATATTTAGTTTTTTTCTTTTCAGCTGGAGATTGTAGAATTTGTGGATGTACTATTTCCGGTGATTGTTGTTCTCCATTTGGATTGTAAGTATGAAAAAGTCTAATATTAATATTTAAAATAAATATTTTTATAAAGTTGTGGAAATACAGCAGATCATTGTTCGAATCAAACTGTTCAAACACCAGAATCTGATTTAATTGCACATACTCCGAGTAATTATTCTTTATTATGAATTGAATTTCATATGATTTCTTTATGTATTATGTAGAAGGTGATTGTAGAATATGTAATAATTGTAATAATGTACAAATTTGTTGTAACAATACTGGATCGTATGATTAATCAATATTGATTTTTTTAAATTCTATATTTTTTATTTCTTAAGTTGTGTCAATGAACAAAACCAATGTCTCGATACTCTTTCTACACCTCAAACTTGTAAGAAAATAATTCATTTTAATTATCATAATTCTATTTTGTTTTCTAGCAAATGTAAACAAATGTCAACCAGATCCGTCAAAATTCTATAAAATTCTTCATAATGAATATAATAAATTTATTGATTGTAAAGAATTTTCCACTACTCCTGATTCTACAACTGTTATTCAATGGTCAGAAAGTAATACTATCAATCAAATCTGGCAATTTGTTCCAATAAATCAAGCAGCAAATATTTATTTAATAATTTCTGCTCAGACATATAAAGCATTAACAATAACATCATCAAATAATGTTCAACAATGGTCTTATGAAACAGATGATTTGAATAAATTCTTTCAAATTCAACAACAAAATGATTTATGTCGAATTGTTAATATGCAAACAAATACATCACTTATTGTTGATTCAAAGATAAATGGAAGACCAATTCAAATTTCTAGACAACAGATTATTGAAGATTTTACTTGGAAATTAATTGAAACAAGTATTAGTTGGTTTTTTTTCATTGAATAATTATTACATCTTTTTTTTTTTTGTTATAGCGAATGCATCAAATCATTATTGGAAAACTTATATTGATGAAAATCTTCAAGAAATATGTGAAGATATAGAAAATGTCAAATCAATAGAAAAATTAACATTACAAAATTGTTTACAATGGTGTTATAATGAAAAAAGAAAAGAATTTTGTATGTGGAATTATAATGATAATGATGATCAAATTGGTTATTGTTTTGCGACAAATCAATGTCAAAATCGAACAAAAAATACTTCACAAAATGAAAAATATCGAATTTATATTAATCGTAAGTATAAAATATATATTTTAGAGCTTGGAAGAGTACAAGTACTCTGAGAAGAAGAACTACCCCGTCTTTCGGATACCTTCCAGTATAGAGTGCTGTCCGAGAACATTTTCACAGGCCTGATATTTTCCTATAGCTATAGACAGAAGGTCGGCCTGATACAGAAGCTATATGGTATATCAACATACTACCGGACGGATGATCCGAGACAAACAGTCGTCAGTGACTTGTCTAAAGTCATTTCATAACTGATAGTATTGAGGTTCGAACAACGTAACGACTCACGTCAGCCATGGCGGCTTTTAAGTACTTCTGTACTTTGTACTTGAGAAATAAAAAAATATATGATGAGATAGGAAAATTTAACACAAATTTTTATTGAGACAATTTACTTAATGGAATTTTCTTTTCAGTCCTCATTAGATCTATTTTTATTGTTTTGTTTTCGAAAATGCTAACACTCCTTGTATTATAGTTTTTCATGAAAAAGTACTAATAAAATAGAAAGATTAACAATGTATGAATCTTTAATTAAATAATAAATCAAGGACTGAGTGTTAAGATGATCATTCCTACGTTTTCTCTTTACTAATCTCGAGTATAAATTTGAATTATAATGTTTATCTATATATATATATATAGGACATGAACAAGATATATTCTCAACTAATGATAATGATAATGATGATGTTCCAGTATTCGCAACAGCTCCATTCACAAATTATATTGATTATACAAAATATCTTTTAATATCAGCAAATGATTTTTCAATTCCATCTGAACCATTACGTTGTATTGATTTAGATCCTCAAAAACAACGAATTGTTGTTTTTAATGAAACAAATGAAGGTATTCGATTTTGTGATTTATGTCCAAATCTTCCACCATTTAATAAATATCCAGATTATTTTATTAATTCCGAACCATTAAAACAAATAGAAAATTCTCGTTTTGATCAATGTTTTCTTTTATGTGTTGAAGATATTCATTGTATTGGATATTCTTATAATGAAAATAATTTCACATGTTTAACATTTAATCAAACAACAATTGTTGGAACTAATGGTTTAGTATATCGATCACAATGGATAACTATTCTTATAAAACAACCAATTGGAATTATTCAAAATTGGCTTTATACAAGAAATACAAAAATAGTTAGTCGAATACTTGATGCAATTAATCGAACTGAACCTGCTGATACATTTTTACAATGTTTAAATTTATGTAGTAATTCAATAATTCCTTGTCAAGCAATAACTTATGATTTTCAAATAAAAATTTGTCAATTTTTTGAAACAATTACATTAGATAATTATATACAAACATCTTATGGTTCAGTAACAGCATTTCATTTCTCTTATATTTATGGAAATATATCAAATCATTGGAAATTTTTATCCGAAGATGATCAAAATAATTTAATTATAAAAGATAATAGTTTAGAAACAAATTCAAGTAAATCATGTCATTTACCAACGGATAAATCAGCAACTGAATATGGAATTTTTTATAATCCAAATTGTTTAGTTGGTGGTAAGTAATAAACGAGACATATTAGAGATTTTCATCGCGGCGCGGCAGCGATGGCTTTTACGAAATGTTTTTTTTTGTTCAAAAACATATAAATTCACATATCATTTCGATGTTGATGTATGTTGCCATGTGAGACTTGATGAGCTTGCTCAGATAGTAGTAACAACTTCGATTTGCATGGCTTAGATCTTTGAAAAACCCGAGATTTCTAAAAACGCCCATAGCGGTAACTTTTTCGTGATTCCATCGCGACGCAGCCGCGATGAACATCTCTGACATGTATTATTCGTAATATTTTAATTTTATTTCTATCTAGGTGGAAATGGTTGTGATCAAAATGGTTGTCAATTATGTTTAATATTTAAAGCGAATTTTGAACAAAATCTTCCGTTATGTCCTTCAATTACATCTGATGATCAAAGTATTGAAAATGCTCAAATTCAAATTGAAAATTGTATGAAAATTTGTTCAAATCAATCAAATACTTGTATAGGATTTGATTATGATCCATCTACAACAACATGTAATTATTTATTTACATATTCAAATTGGATAATTAATAAAAGTAATTCAAAAAAACGTTATCTACTTACATATCCATCGAAAACATATCAATTTCTTCCTGATTGTGAATTAATTTCAACCTCAATTTCTCAATCATCAACATTAGAAGAATGTTTAAGTAAATGTACAAATGATTGTCAAAAAGTATCTTATAATTATAAAACATTACAATGTAAAATAGGCAAATATTCCACAGGAATATTTCGAGTTGATTCTCAAATTGATTCACATTGTTTTATAAAAAATTTGAATGAAAATAATGATTTAACATCAATACGTATGGCATTTTATCGTTATATTGGTTTCGAAATAAAAATTCAATCAATTAAACAAATTGATTTTCATTGTCAACAAGGCGATTGTTCAAATGAATTAAATCAATGTTTACAAAATTGTTTAGATAATAATCAATGTCAATATATATCAATAACATATACAAATATAAATACATTTCAATGTAAATTATTTCAAAATAATATTAATGAAACAAATGATTTTCTTCCAAATAATTCTTCAGAAATTTATTATCGATATTTTGATATTAATATAAATTTATCAAAACTTGATACAATGCCATTATTTCAAGTTGAATCAGATTTAGCACAATGTTATGATCAAACGCGAACAATTAATAAATATCAACAAACATATTCATCATTAAAAGGTTATAAAGATTCATTAGAAATTTCAAATAATGATACTCAACAAATAATTTCAACTAATTTAATAAAACGACGTCGACGACGACGATCAATATTTTCTGATATTGGAAATTTTTTCAAGAAAAATATTATTGATCCTGTTGTTGATTCTGTTAAAGATATTGTTGAAACACCAATTAAAATTGGTAAAGCTATTGGTGCAGCTATATCTGGTGATACAGAACAAGCAAAAAAGGAAATTCTTGATATTGGAATTGTAAAAGATGCAATAAGTTTAGGAGAAAATGCTGTAGAATTTGGTAAAGCATTAGGAAAAGGTGATTTAGCTGGTGCTGGTGAAGCTTTATTAAATGTTGGAGCTGATGCATTAAGTTTTGTACCAATTCCAGGAGGAAAAATTGTTGGAAGTATTGGAAAGAATGCAATTAAAAATGGAGTAAAAGATATCAAAAAAGATTCTAAACCAACATCAAATGATAGAAAAGATGATGATAATAAAAGATCGGAAGATGAAAATAATAAACAATGTACTTTGGTAAATAAATAAATACTTTTCTTTTTTTTGAACCAATAATAAATCTTTGTATTTTAGACACGTCGAAAACGAGCAGATGATACTATTAAACGTAAATGTGATGATGATGATCAACAGTAAGTTTAATCTAAATATTTTTGTTATTTATATAAATTAAATTTTGATTTAATTAAGAAAAAATCCCAAATGTCAAAAACCAAAGATAACATTTTTATTAGAAAGTGGTGATTGTGATATGAAATCAATTGGTAAAAAATGTGAATGGATATGTAAAGCTGGTTATAATGAATCTGCTGAAAATGGTGCATCTTGTGATCGACAAAAAACTAATAATAAGAATGCAGTATGGGATCCGAAACCAGCATGTAATGCTCAACAATGTGGTACAGGAAATAATCCATATATATCCGTTGAAACAGATGGAATTGTCGCTTTTACAATATATTATGATAAAAAACGAAAATTACCTATATGGTCATTTTCTATTCATGATTCAAAAAATCGTGTAACAAAAAATATAAAAGCTGAACGTGGTGGTAGTTTTTATAAACATCCATGTCCACAATTAAAATCAGATCAACCATCAGATGATCATTATACAAATTCTGGATATGATCGTGGACATTTAACTCCATCGGATGCTCATCGATATTCAGAAAAAGCATCAAAATCTTCAAATTTTTTTATTAATGTAGCACCACAAGATCCATTTACAAATCAAGATTTCTGGAAAAAAATTGAAGGACATGTTTTATGTCATAATAATAAATATCCAGCAAGTTTAGTTGCTACTGGTATTTGTCCTGATTCAAGAGGTCAAACTCAATCTCTTCAAAAACTAGATATTCCAAGTTGTTTTTGGAAAATGATTTGTTATATTCGAGATGGTAAAACACATGTTGTGGGTTTTCTATCGGAAAATAAACTCATTGAGGACAGACATAATGCAGATTATAATCAAACAAAACAAACAATATTTCGACCTGTTTCTCAACAAACTATTCGAGATCTTTTAAAAAGTGATGCTAATTATGCGAAAAATCCATTCGATTCAACTGTATTATCAAAATCAAATAGAGGTATTTTAAAACAAAACAATGAAATTTATTTATATTTAAGTCTTCTTTTTATAATTATTTGTAGGTCGTGGAACAATTTTAGTTCAACCTAGTTTATGTGCAAATGCCTTATCATTAGATCAAACTGAATCTGATGCATGGTATAATGATTTTGTAGGTATTAAAAAAGATGCAACAAAAACAAAAAGACAAGCAAGTGATATTTTTAAATCTCGAGGATGTTCAGCATCAGAAGCTCAAGCAATGGCATTATTTATGGGTCTAAAATCACTTGATATAGATGATGAAGAAGATATCGTACCAGATGATAAGAATAATGATGATAGCGATTTAGGAGATGAAGATGATGATGGCGGGACGGATGGTCGTCCACAAGCAGCTAATTGTGGTAAACGAATTATTGGTTATTATCCAAGTTGGGGAACAGGAAAAGTTTCAGCAAAACATATTCGTCGTTTAACACATATAATTTATGCGTTTTTTGAAGTTGATTCAAGTGGACAAGTATTTCTTGGTAGTGCTGATCGTACACATAGTGCTGATGTACAAAAAGATACAGATATTGCGAAAAAACGTTTAGAACATTTATTAAAATATAAACAAACCTATACGGAACAAAAATATATGTTTGCAGTTGGCGGATGGGAAAATTCACAATATTTTAGTTCAATTGCTCAATCACCTGATAAACGTCTTCGATTTATTGCATCATCATTAAAATTAATTGATGAATATGATCTTGATGGAATTGATATTGATTGGGAACATCCAGTTACAGGTGGTGCTGTTGAAGGTATTAAAGAAGATAAACAAAATTATGTTTTATTTATGAAAGAAATTCGACAAGCATTAGATCAACATGGTGGAAATGAAAGAAAATATTTATTGTCATTTGCCTCAGCTGCTGGACAATGGACACTTGATCCAGGTTATGATCTTCCGGGATTATTAAAATATGCTGATTTTGTTAATATAATGACATATGATTTCTTTGGAGCATGGGAATCAAAATGGGGAGCATATACAGGTCCACCAGCACCACTTTATTTTGGAATGCCACCAAGATTTTCTGGTAAAACAAATGTTGATTGGACAATTAAATATTATATGTGTAAAACAAATCAACCACATCAAATAAATATGGGTGTACCATTTTATGGTCGATATTGGAAGAATGTTCCAAGTGAACCAATAGATCCTACAGATGGTATGAATAGAAAATATACAAAGAATTATTTCATGTTTTTCTTCTTTAGGTATGTGGCATAAAGCAAATGCAGTAAATGGTAAATTTGAAGGTGGTTATGCGCCATGGAATGAAATTAAAAATTCTTGGTTAACAAATCCAGCTTATAAACAACAGAATCATGAAAAATCCAAATCATCGTATGCTTATAATGCTCAAGAAGGTATATTCTTAGGTTTTGAATCACCTGAATCATTACAAGATAAAGCAAAATATGCTGTGGATAAAAATGTTGGTGGATTAATGATATGGGCAATTGATCAAGATGATGATGATTTAACAATGATGAATATTGTATCAGCAGCTCCATTATGTCAAAATACGGATCCAAAAGCAACATTTTATAAATGTTCACCATTAAAAGATGAAAAACGTTGGTGGACATTAGAAGATAGTGAAGAAAATGCTGGTATGTGTGGTCGATCAGCACCATTATATAAAGGTTATTATCCTGTTTGTGATCCTGATGATCCGGGTTATAGTTGTTGTAGTCCTGAAGGTTTTTGTGGATTTTCTGATAAACATTGTAAAAGTCCTGGTGTAAATTATGGTGAAAATCCTGATCTATTAGTTCAAGAACCTGTTCGTCCAACAATCAATCCCATTTTATGGTATACACTCGATGCACCTGATGGTAAACGTGGTCGATGTGGACGAGATGTACCTAAACTTGATAATGGTGAATATCCAATATGTAATCCTGATGATGCTAATGGTCATTGTTGTTCGAATGGTGGTTATTGTGGAACTGGGAAAGAATTTTGTGAATGTGAAGAATGTATTGATTTCAAAAAGGATCTAAAGTTTCGATTTAAACCAAAACAATGGACTGATGATGGAAAATGTGGTAAAAATGCTCCACAAGTCAATGGTCAAATGGCTATTTGTAATCCTGATTCTAAAACAGCATATTGTTGTTCAGCATCAGGTTATTGTGGTTCAGGTGATGAATTCTGTAATTGTAACGGGTGTGTCAATTATAAAAATAAAAAATAATCAGACTATAATTAACAAAAAAAACTTAAATTAACGTTTTCTTCTTTTCTGTAAATAAAATCTATTTTTATTCATAACAAATAAAAATTTTCATCACTTAAGTCAGACAGTAAATATTTGGCTTTCGACCCAATTACATTCAATGCTGTATAAAGTGAAGTTACATCCGATAGAAAAATAGAATCATCTTCTAGCACATGTGTTTTAAGCCATTTCATATTGCGATTTGATTGCAAAGTTGAACTAACCAAAAGCAAACTAATAAGAGAACAAAAATCTTATATTTTTACAAAAAAAACATGGCATCCTACTGATATTCTCCTAGACGTATAACAGAACAATCTTTTTCATAACCGCCTTGTTCATTTAATATTTCTCTATGAACAACAGTACCAATTGGCTTATCAATATTATTTACACAATGCATTTGAAGAAAATCCACAACACTTCGATTTGCTGATTTTAATTCATATTATGTAAATAATGTCATATCAATAATAGCTACACCTTTTCGACATGCATTATATTCTTTTTTAACTGTATTAAACCATCGTGCTTTACTAAATGTGCCTTGTTTACTTAAATCTTCAAAATCTTCTGTATTACAGAAAAAAAAGAAATTAAAAAAAACATTTTCTTTTAGTTTCAAAATACTTTTTCTTGCTTCATCTGGTTTAAGAAATAGTGGACGTTCATAACCAAGCACTTCGCCATAAACAACACCAACAAGTGCTATACCATGTCCATTAGAACCGGTTGCAACGAAATAATTATTAATCTAAAGATTTCGTTATTTTATAAAATATTTCTATTCATTGAATAAATAACTAACTTCAACTGATTCATTCATTATTAATCGACCATTCGATGTAAAACTATCACCACCAGTAATTAATGTTTCACATTCACTTTCAGCTAGAACAGGAAATCATTTGATGGTATTACTTAATATCCAATCAAGGAAATAAATATAAATATATGATGAATAAAATGATGATAACCTACGAAAATTATCCCAATTGTCGAGTAGAAGTGAAAAATGAAACGTATCTGGAACACCATTTGTACACATATATATTCTACATAATAATCTTATTAGATAATTTTTCAAAATAAAATTCAATTTATAAATTACCATATGGTTGAGTAGGAATTCGTACACTTGGTAAAGTTTGAAATCCACGTTCTCATATCCACTTAAAATAAATACAGACCATTTCTGTACAATTAATAAATACATCACATTTACAGTACGTTGTTTTTCTGTAAGAATTTCTTCTACATAACAAACTTGAATAATTCGAACTCCTATAAATAAATAATCAATAAATTTATCAAAAAAATCTTTTCTGTTATTACCTTTAGCTAATGGTACATGTCATGAAATAAAATATATATATTATAGAAATTTATTTTGTATTCAATTTTCATGTGGATTAATAATTCATAATTTTTCTCTTAAGTTTTCATGACTTAATGTTTCACAATCGGTTCCTAATACTTTTGTGGTATAATATTGACGTTTAAATGTATGAAGACCACTAGATGTTTGAGCTACCCATAAACTTCCTTTTCAAATGAAATCTATTGAATATAAATCATAATATTTAAGAAAAACTTTAAATATTACCAATATTATATCTTTCTTTATGTAATCGTTCATATAATTATCTTGGATATTTTGTAACTGAGATACTTGATCAGAACTTTGCCATGTTGAACCTGATACTAATCTATTTCAATACAAATAAATTCAATGAAATATAAAATATTTTTATTACTTTGCTTTTTCGATGAGTACAATATTTTGAATATTTTATTCACTTAAATGCTGTGCAACTGCTTGACCAATAATTCCAACACTAGCAATAATTATATTACATAATGATGCGGTACAGTAGGAGATTCATGTTGATCATATGAAACTGAACGATGAGGACTGAAGGACAAACGAGAAAAAGAATTGATCTTTAAATATTGCTCATAGAGAATTAATTTATGCTGCAGCATGCAAGTCTGTAAACATCTGAACGAATGATCTCAATATTAAAAAATTTATTATCTTAAATTCTTTGAAAACTATATTTTATTTTATGGTTACAGGAGAAAACGGTAGATATTTAGAAATGGGCGTGTGAATATGGATGAACAAACACTACACTCATACCCTAATATTGTTCATGTTGGTGTTATGAGCTATTACAGAAATGCGAATAAATTAAACTATCGATAATAGGTCTGTGTTTATGGTATATTTGTGTATAAAAATATCTTTGATTTCGTATACAGTTGTATCTGTTTATTATCATTTGTGAATATGATAAAAAAAATGGTTGTCTTTGATTCATCGATACGTTTGATTTCATAAATCACATGTCTAAACAATATAAAATATCGCTCTTTTACCTTTTGTTTTGTATTTGAATAGAAACAAAGAATATCGATATAGTGAGTTTGTTAATATGAGAGAACGAAAGAGAAAAATCGACGTTGAAGTTGAATACAATTCATGCGTAACATTGACGAAAGAAAGTGAAAGATGAAGCATGGATTTAGATTGTGCATATTAATTTGTTTTATTTTGGTTATTCAAAATGATTGTACGTGATATTCACTAAATATCTCCTTGTGGATGTTGTTAAAAAGAAAATCGAGTAGGCATTCAATTATTCTTATAGATAATATTTTAACACAACTAAATACATAGCAGATTTTTTCATGATTTCTTTCTTTCGAATTTTCTCTCCGTATGAAAATAAAAATATTTGACAAATAACCAGTAAATAAACTTCTACAGATCTTTTTATTATATATATATTTAAGCTCTATTATTTTACACTTATACCTATATCTTTACATATATATAATGTGAATATGTATTTTTCGATTGATTTCTAGCGTCATCTGTAAACTTCGTTATATAATGAAAGTAACTTGTTTCTCTCATGTCCGTACATTTCTTTCTTTGTGGTAATATGTCAGTAAATAGTATTGTATATCAATGATCAAATATATTCGATGCACTTGAATTTAAAAGGAGAGAAAAGGAAGAATTGATAACTAAAAAATACATATTACTCTGCATTTTAAAAAATTTCATACCCCTTCTAGGTTGTTATATTCGAATAAATATATTTCTTTTTTTCATTCCAGATAGTAAACAATTATTTTTATTATAAATTTTGGTACTACAGCAATATTCGATCAAATTATGTCTATAAATCACATCAAAGATTGAATGATAATATTTAAGGTAAAAATAAAATTATCATTCATAAAATGATGATATATTTGATTTACGATCGACGAGATGTATGTTTTTCGTGTGAGAAGACTTTGGAGTTTTATGAATCAGATACAAATGTATCGTTACTATTGACAACCAATTCATTCATACACTGTTATAGAGTATTATTAGTTTGATTATGTAAAATATAGATGCTATAAATATCCTTGAGAAATTAACACCTTTCATTGTTTTTTGAGATAATAATAATATTGATCGGTAATATTAGCATTCAAATATCATCGACTTGAAAATTAATTAATAAAAAAAACGTTTTATTTTTTTATGAAAAAGTTTTAACATAACAAATAACGTGAGAAACATTATTAGCCTTTTATATAGATTTAGTACTTGTTTTTTCCTTTTATTAATATAATATATGTCCATGTTTTTAATTAAGAATAGAGTGACAACATATTGTCTGATCATTTAGATATAGACTTTTCTAGTTTAAAGCATGTCTATTATTTCAGAATCAAACTAAGTTTTTTTGACAGTTATAAAAGCATGGATTCTTTTTAAAACACTTTATTCTAATAGAAAACTTCCTCATTATTAAATCAAATAAAAGCTCTTGAGATTGTAGGATCCTTTCCGTGTATTTTCTAGACTAATAGTGTACTTCCCCTTTCGTATGTATGTATGTAAGTAATTGACTGTGAACAAAATGACCCAACAATATTATATTCTTTTACGAAATGAAATGACTCATATGCACATATTATTCTCTGTCGAAGCAAAATATTTATTTAGTAATAAAAACATCACCTTTTTAATATTTTGATCAAGTCATGCGCAGAATATGCCAATTCTGATGATCACAATTTAATCGTTTTCTTTTTTTGAGGCAAAGTAAAAATGTATAGCACTAATATAATTAGACACTTATCTTTTCTATAAAAATACCGCTCTCGGTCCAAATAAGAAAGCGTTGTAAGGAATCTTAACTGATTTTATTACAAGTAATCATCATTCTTGACATTTTAAATTTTTTCTCTAGTATTTCGACGCATTCTTTCCTCTCTATATAATCTTTTATTCTCTTCCATAACAACCCAGACTAATCATATCGATGAAGAAATGTCTAGCAGATAGAGAGAAAAGAACAGTTACCCTGTGTTATGTCAAAACATGATCATCTTTCAATCAAATATTGATTATAGCTATGATGAATTTCATTTTATTATTACAACTGTAAAAATTCAACAGATGTATTAAAGTATTTTATTGTCATGTAGAGTATGTCATAGTTTTCTTTCTACGATACGTTAGCAAATAAGAAAATATTTTCTTTTCTTTTCTTTTTTTTCCTATGTCAAGAAAAAGTAATATAAGTATGTCCTTTTTCTTATTTCAGAATACGGTATTTTTACTATCATCAATGGTTTAGTTTAAAGTGCACATGCAGCACTTAATTGACGAACGATTGTCTCGATGTTTCAGAATCGACGTACTGTTTTTTTATTTCTATGTTCAATTGCTTTTGTTCAAGCACTTTATTATATTATCACTTTACAAATAAAAAGAAATCAAACTATTATAAATTCTGGATTGGCAATATCATATGAACATTCGTCAGATATTACAAAAACATCCGTCCAAAATACAGTGGCATTGTTAAATCCATCTATTCAAACAGAATTATCTTCATTTGCTAACGCTTCATTTATAATTTCACATAATTTTATTAAACCTGATCCTACTATTTATAATTCATATCCAATTTGTAATGTTTCATTTTCAAATCATAATTTATCTTCGACAAATCATAACTTATCTTCGTACAGAGTCACAGTTAGTAAAACAATTTATCCTTTTGATATTATCGAACAACATCAAGGAGAAGATCTATATCCAGGTGGACATTGGTTTCCAAAAACTTGTCGAACAGAACAACGTTTAGCTATAATAATATGTTATAGAAATCGTGAATTACATTTAAAATTATATCTTGATAATATACATTCATTTCTTAAACAACAACAACTTGATTATACTATATTTGTTGTAAATCAACATGGTCAACAGCCATTTAATCGAGCTGCTTTATTTAATGTCGGTTTTCTTGAAGCAATGAAACTCTATTCATTTGATTGTTTTATTTTTCATGATGTTGATCTTTTACCTGAAGATTTAAGAAATGTTTATAAATGTGGAGAGAAACCAAGACATATGTAAGTAAAAACAAAGCTTGTGTAATACATTTCATACGACAATTTTAAACAAAAAAAGATGACAGAGTATTTCCAATCGGTAATAAGACATTAGGTAAACGATTTTGATCAGTAACGAACATATTAGTTTGACGAGGAGGAATAATTTTGACAGATAGAATCTGTGCAATATTCTAAGAGATTATTGATCTGAATCCTTCATAATTGAGGATCTAATAAAAACTCTTATTTATATTTCAGGTCAGTTGCTGTTGATAAATTCAATTATAGATTACTTTATTCAAGTTTATTTGGCGGTGTAACAGCCTTTAGTTTATCTGATTTTACTGGTGCTAATGGATATCCGACAGTTTACTGGGGATGGGGTGGTGAAGATGATGATATGTATTTACGTGTTACAAGAAAATTAAAAAAGACAATAACACGCTATCCTATTGAAATAGCACGTTATAAAATGATTCGTACTTTTAATCATACATCTGGTAAAGCTAATCCTGATCGACATACAATACTTTATTCGAAATATGATTATAGTCAAGATGGTATAAATACAACAAATTATGATTTACATCATGTAGTTTTTTATAAATTATTTACATTTATCAATGTTACATTACCACAAGAATCATTTGAACACATACGTCTTCGTTTAAATATTAAATTAAAACCACCAAAGAAAAAAGTAAATGTCGTGAGAAAAAAAAAGGTATGAATGATTTTTTTTTTATTTTATGAGTTCGCTTTTAGTCAATGAATGAATGACATTTTATGTTTGTTTTCTTTTTTTTATTTGTATGAATTTCTAAGAATGCTTCTCTTCTTTTTTTTTCATGATTTTTAACGTTATATATGTATTGAAAATGTCTTTTTAAAACATTTATTATGATATTTTGGATTTATTAAAATAAATATGAAGATATTTATATATAATCTCAATATTTCATCTGTCAATCGAACAAAACAAAAGTTTCCATAATCAAGAAATTATAATTTTTCATGCGTAATAATCTAGCATGCTTTATCGTACAGGAAACAGTATATTATTATCATTAATAATTAATGAGATATAAACCAAATCAAATATTTATCAGGAAAAAAACTAACTTAATAAATACACAAGCAAAAGTATTACGAATTCTAATAGATAAGACTGATTAGATCTAATCAACTGTTTCTTTTTTATTGTAGTAATAATTAATAATAAGTGCATTCTGATTTTACTGATATGGGATGATACGTTATTGTTCTACAAATTGTTAAGAAACAGTAGCAATTATAGAATCAAATATTTATTGAACGAATATTCTTTCTATTCTACAATCAGTCGGTATATATTAGAACTTAATATACTTCTTATACCCTTCGAATAAATAGAATTAAAATAAGTAAATACATTGTAAAAACTCAAGAACATATTACTAAGTCAATAGCGTTTTTTTATGGATGCCCTCTATTTCAATGACGTACGATTAGTAATTTACTATCTCCAAAGAAATATATATATATATGGATATCCAATAATCAATAGTACACAAAGGTATATTTTAATGTTAATTAAATAAATTTCTTTAGTTTTTTTCAATCATTTTATTGAATTGACAATAAAAAAAAACTTTCAAATCAAAGGATATTGTTTTATCACCCATATTGAAATCAATATCATTGTTTTCTCAGATATCTTCATCTGAATGTGTCACTTCACATATGATAACCAAATATTTAACAAGATCTATCGACTAAGAATCTTCTTACAAGACTTTCAAAGTAATGATTTATCTTTTCTTGATGTAAATCAACATAATTCATTCTCATCTGTCTTTTCTTTCCAATCAAATATTAATACTTTTTTTACTTGAACGTTGTTGTTGTTGTGGTTGCGATGCATCAAATTCTTTTGCTCCTTGACTTTTAAGATATGAAAAGACTTCACGTGAACCAGTTTCACGTGCCCATTTAAGAGGTGAATGTCCTTGATGATCTGTTATATTAAGATGTGCACCACGATTTATAAGTAAACGAACAAGTTCAATATCATTATGTGCTGATGCAACATGTAATGGTGTCCAACCTGATGCATCTTTTGTATTTGGGTCAGCTTTACATTTCAATAAAAGTTGAACAATATCTTGATGACCTTCACATAAATAAAAAAAGAAAATGTAATATATCTTTTATTTAAAATCTCAACTTACCAAGATCAACAGCACGATGAAGAGCAGTAATACCACCACTATTAACAACATTCACATCAATGTTACATTTAAGAAGAATTTCTATGCTAGATGTTGCATGAACTTTAACAGCTTCATGTAAACATGTTTCTTCAGCATAATCTTTATTATTAATAAAATTCTGTTGTAAATCATTATCAAGATCTGTAATCACATTTTCAATTAAATATTTCACAACATTATATGCTTGACTAGTAACAGCATAATAAAGTACATTTCGTCCATCTTTATCTCGATTAGAAATATTTGCACCTGATTCAATTAATAATTGACATATATTTTTATTTCCATAAAATGCTGCATACATTAATAATGTTGCTGCTTTATCACCATCGGTTAAATTTACGAAATTGATTGTTTGTTCTGATGATGAACATAAACGTATTTGTCGTCGTAATTCATCAATATTATTTGTACAAATTAGTTTAAATAATTTTTCGAATTTTGCTGACTGTGATTGACCCATGTAAATATTACTAAAAAAAAATCTAAATGAAAACAAAATATTTTTTTTTGTTGTATTGAAATATTATTATGTACCGCTAAAGATACATTTATACGCATGGTTGATTGTTCGTTTTTATATATGGTAGATCAAGATAAAAAAAACGACAAATAGACAATGAATCATCTTCTTCCTAGCAAGTAGTATTATCAATATATGATAGAATTATTGAAAAGAAAACAGTACGGACAAATTTTTCAAAACAACTGATGAATTTAGAGGATTTATAATACATGTTTATCCATTACCTCTTATGATAGTAAGTAAAATTTTAACGAATTCCTTCTGATATTGTTAATTATCTTGATACAACGAATAGTTTAATACAACGTCAGAAGTAATAAAAGTATATATTTGATTGTAATATAGTAATAATCTCACATGACTATATCAATGACTAATTAAGAAAGAATACAATGTATTCTGAATATTATCTAAGGTAATATAGTTGTATTCACGCATATCAAAAAAAAACGTAATGAGTGTATTAGTCTGTAGACATCAGTCGTATAACGAATGATTAGTTTTGATAAATTAGTAAATATATCATTCAGAATTAGACCTATGAGAAAAAATAAGTTGCTCGAAATGAAGCTAAATTCGGAAGTAATGATCCAAAAAAATATAATATTTGTTAGTTCAATTTCTTGAGAATAACTTGTGTTTAAAGCAAAAAAAGAAATATTCAATCGTTTGAGACAATATTTATAAACTTCTTGACATACATACAAGGCCATGAAAACATTAGTTGGCTCAAATATATAAACCAGGTTATGTTTAGACCTTGCGTAATCAATATTGACATCTTTAGTTCTTCTAATACGATAACTTGCTTTATCTATATAGTCAATAGAAATACAATAACAAAGCTTCATAATATTTGATCATTTTTTCTCGAACATTTTATTTCAATTTAAAAGTTTGTAAAACTTGATTGAAAAGCACAGCAAATTCGATGCTACTCATTCTATTATTTATTTACATCATTAGTCATAACAATGATATTAAAATTTCAGGTGACTCATCATTCATTTTCGACTAATGATCTTGATTTAAAAGATAATAGTAATTCATTTATAATGAAATTTATTTTTTATCATCTATCTAAAAGATTAATAATTTTTTTGCTGAGTTAAAAAAATGTACAGGAAAAAGGTTGAAAGTTTTATTTTAACGACGAGAAGTTAAATTGCGAACCTAAACGATTCATAAAAAATATGTAAGTATACTAGGAAAAAAAAGTTTTATTTAACATACCACTGAGAAAAGTCCACTAGCTATTTGACCAGCATCCGATACAGATTTTGACATCTAAATAAATATTTCATTTATTAGAATATAGAAATATAAGTATATATTTTTACTGAATTTCGAACGGAACCAAGAGTTTGAAAATCGCCTAAACGTCTTTCTAAAAAGTTCATTGTATCGATTTTATCTTGAGATTGATCTTGAAGCATATAAATCTCTGCACTTTTATAAATAGCAGCAAGTATAAGTCGTTTTGAATACCAGTTAATCTATATTTATAGACATAAAGTTTATATAAAATAGATTTAATTAGTTTTATTTACATCAGTAGATGTATCACCAGCACCATGCCAGGCATCACTTGATAGATCTAAAATATTTTTCCAACCACGCATTGCATTTTGAGGTAAAGCTCCTTGTGCTAATGCCTATGAATAGAACAAATAAAATATAATTAATAACTATTTAAATTGTACCATTAAGAAAAGTTCTTCTAAGGATTATAGGTTTTTTTACTTCATCTGCGATGCATAAAAAAGTCATTTAACTGAATAATCAATTTTTCATAGATATACACTTCGGTAGATTTTATGTTAATGCTACCAGTTAATTTCTAATAAAAAATCAATCTAGCATGTAGCCGCTGTTAAAATATTAACAGAAGTACTTAGTACCAACTTTTAAACTATATTATTAGATCAGATAAAACTAAATATGTTTTTTTTAATACTTGAGATTTAAGAGCAAATTATCTATATAAGAGTATTTATGACATGGCACATATTTTCATGAAAAAAACGATTAATCTTTTAAAAGAATTCCGGTAAAACAACTATATAACTATATATATATATTGATGATACGTTTTTCCTAAGATAAGATATCAATCTATATCGAGAGAATATTGTACATTTAAAATAGTCTCAAATTGTAGTCTATTGTTTAGATTAAATGTTTCATACCTGATCCCATGTGTTGGCATAAGGTACAACAAGACCAATTCGATATTTAAGAGCATCAATAAGTAAACGACTGCCTTGTTTCTCTCCGCTACAAATAAAACAAAATTTATTTTTCTAATATTTTATATCATATAATTACCTTTTTGCTTTTTCACTCATATAAGTTGCCATTTTAGCATTTGCATCTCTCATAAAATAATCGACAAGATCGTAACCATTACTAAACAATCCTTCAACTGTTGTTGGTTGATTACTTGCACGTACACCTATATTCATTATAAATCAATAGATATATACAACAAGAACCAAAAGAAATCAATCAACAAACCAGCTCGAATAGCTTCCATTGTCCAGCCTTTATCTGTGACATGTTTAAGTGATTCACTTAGTATATTATCACGTATATCACTTTCACGTTGAATAGGAATTTCATTAACATCACTAAAAGAAGATATTTTTAGTTTTGTTTAATAAAAAGAAAGTCTTTTTTTTACCTTGTTCTATCAGTTTTCTTCGTATCATATGAACTTTTAGTTTGATGCATTTCTGATGATGAAAATGTATCTTGACCGTAAAGTGGATTATCACGTTTAATACGATTTTCATTAACATCACTACAAAAAGATATTTTTAGTTTTGTTTAATAAAAGAAATTGTTTTTTTTGCCTTGTTTTATCAGTTGTCTGTACATTATATCCACTTATATTTTGATGTGTTTTTGTTGATGCTGATGTATCTTGACCGCCATATATATGTGATTGCGTCGAAGTTTCATAATCATGATGTGATGTTGATGAAGATACAGCATTTTCAAATTGTCCTGTTGGTGATGATGCTGATGAATAGACATCAGTTGAGGAAATTTTTGGTGCAAATACTGTATCTGATGTAGGTGCTGAAGTCATTGGTGTATCTGGTGCAAATGTTTCAAAGGCTGAAGCAGCAGCAGCTTCTGCTAATTGACCAGGTGTAGCCTCACCATGTAAAGTATGTGTTGTAAATGGATCAGCAATATTTAATTCACCTTGGGTTGCATGAACTAATGTTTCATGAGCTGTTTTACCATCAAGTGGTGCAGAAGCAAACTGGGTTGAGGTAGCACCTAATGGAGCAATATGAACTAAATTTGGATTTTGAACAGACCTAAAAGATTTCTTTTATAATCAAAAATTTATTTCACATCATGATTTCAACGAACCAAACATGTCCACCACCAGTTAATGTTGCTGTACTTTTTGGTATTGTTTCAATTGTTTCTGTTGGTTGTCCACCTTTAAGATTATCTGGTATATGTGTTTGTGTAGTAGCTGTTGATGGTTTATAGATTTTTGTATCAATACCAAGATCATTTTCGTTTTTTTTATTATTATTACTTGAAATATTTGATAAACATCGTTTTGTATTCGAAGATATTGTTTGTTGACAAATATCAACAACTCGATGTAATTCTGGTATTCCAGCTAGATAATAGAAAGAACATGCTTAAAATATAAAGAAATTTCTTGTTAGACAATAATACGAACAACGAAGACATGTTAAACGTTGCATTGTTGTTGAGAATGAATATATGTTGTATAGAAATAAAGCGGAACATTATATTTACGCAGATTTTTGAACATTTCGCTAGCATCAATGTGAAAGTTTTAATTAGAAATTTCAAAAATATATTCGATAATTTTTATATATGAATAATTTTAAAAGAAATAGATAATTTTTCTTCTTATTCATTTAAAATTAATATTTAAGTGGCACATATCATTATTTATATTGGTTGATCAAAATAACCAATAGGGTTTTAATTAACATCCACGAATGTAAGCTTATCTGTGAACTTCTTTGACACCACGCGATATGTTTGTCTTTTATATATGTTATTCTTTTTCAGAATAAAATTCAATGGCATCAATAACAAAAGATGATGAATTATGTTCGTTTGATGTGCCAGAAACAACACGTCATTCAGGTGGTCATACATTATATAAGATCATATTACAAGTTACACCAAAAGAATTAACACAAAATAGTTATCAAGTATGTTTCATTGAAAATTTTCAGAAAATTAAAAATAGAAGTACTGTATATACTTAATTTTACATTTTGGAAAAATCTTTATCTCATTGAGATTCTTCAGCTTATATTTTTATGAACTATATTTTCAAAATCGAAAAAGTAAATAAAGGATTAAGAATATAACAAAAAGAGTAGATCAAGTATAATTCTTAGTTTAAGAAAATCTTGTCATAATTTAGAATTCACTGTTAGTTGATATATTTGTTTAAATTATTCGAATTGATCTGTATATTTACTCCTAGAATAAAAGATTCTGCCCTATAGATGAAAGTATTCGATTCAATGATTTGAATTATTTCTAAATAATATGTTTATTTTTTTATTTTCAAAATCATATTAATATCTATGATTACTTACCCATCTTGATGATATCTTTCGAGTAGTAGTAAAGAAGTCGATATATTTCTTTATTTTCAATGTCATAGATGCGCGGATACGGATACAAAATGTATTTACAAAAAATATCCTCTACTTTATCTTCATATACCTTCGCACATATTTTCACATCATATCTGGTTTTCGTTATTCTCATTCTTTGTTTATTTTTCTTTGTCTTTTCTGTTTTTATTCTTCATTCGAATAAGAAACAACGTGAAGAGAGGGTCCTCTCATAGTGACAAAGACAAAATCACAGAATGTGGATGAGGATAGAACCATAACACACTCTATTCACAACTACGAGGGTCGATGAGGGTATCCTCTACCCCGACTTCGTACTCATCCACTGATCTACATACCTTAATATCAATACATATATGGGAGTACATGACTATGTACACCAGAAATTCTAAGAATTTTAAGTGAATATTTACTTTGATTTGAGTACATGTATCCTTGGGTATCAAACTGCAAGATATCGTTTGATTCGGAGTACATTTTGTACTCATATCCGCGCAGCCATCGTATCATAGCAAACTGCTAGATTATTTTCTTGATCTCAATCTAGTATTAGCTCTGAAAAATAATGGTTATGATCACGTCAACTGCATTACAGTCCAATTTCATATGATAATACGAAAATTCCTTACTGATGTTTCAATAGATCATAACGCGTCATCAATACTTATACTATTTGTTGACACAACCACTATGAATACAATTCCCAACTGTTTTGTTTTTCAAAATTCACTCTAGTTTTAATAAAGCATTAACCAAAATAAATTCACCTTTAATTATATTTCGAATATGTCCGAAAGAATCCGATTTTTACCATAAGAGATATATAATTACATGTATATGTTCGTTCTTATTTTGGACATGCTAAATATATATATATATATATGATCTTTCTATTGTTTTTTGCTTCTAATAGCATAAGTATACATTCGATATTCTGGCGAGTAAATAATTTTTATTAGAAAAGAACAGCGTATAGATGGCTCTGCGAGAAAATAAATGTTATATAATAAATTAATAATGATACAAAACGATAGTTTACATAAACAGCTCTTAATTATCGACTCAGATGAAACGAAAGCTAAATGTAAAGTATACCTGTTGTATATCATGTTTTCGATAATTTTCGCATCATCAATTTACTGTTCATAACTAACTTTGACATCTTTTTAATTGACTTACTTATATATTCTATTGTTATATACATTCTGCGATATATTTTTTGTTAGAATCTTGATAATATTAGAAGACAAAAAAATAGAAGGTTTAGATATATGTGAAATACTTTCAAGCACATATGAAATGATCTCACATGAAATCGGATTCTGTCAGATATGCTTTTACTATTTACATGATAAATATTGATTCTAATGAAAAAATGGTTGAATACAAATTTTCAAGTTTGACACGTACCTTAATTCCGCATTTTATTCTTAAGAAAAGTTTTTATATTTAATCGAGATTATTTTACATTCATTTATAATTATTATATTGTGGTACTATTTGCTTATATAGCTTGTATATTGGAAACGATATACAGATATTCGAAAACTATACGATGTTCTTAGTCGTTATCATCAAGCAGTTTATCGTCCTGGTAAATTTCCTGATTTTCCAGAAAAATCACGATTTATGGGTATTAATTAGCCTAGTTAGAACAAATAGTTTCTTTCTATAAAAATAATTCTTTTTTAGAACGTTTTGATCCAGTTATTGTTGAAGAACGACGTGTTGCTACAAAAAATTTTCTTAATTATGTTCTACAACATTTATATTTACGTACACATGAAGCATATATAAATTTTTTTCAGGTAAATTATATATTTTTTATTTATTTTTCTATTATTTATTTTGTATTGATACAGTTTAGAAAGGTGATAAAGTTTTATTACCTGATGTCGAAACAGTTCCTTTACAACCTCAAGTTATCAATTCACAATCTGAGGTGATTAATAATACAAATTCGATTACAACATTACCAACTTCAACAAATGAATCAATTATAGAACCAGAGAAAGATGAAATTTTATTAACTACTGATGAAAATGAACAAATAGAAAATGTGACAAATACTTGTGCTCAGATACTTGAAGATCTGAATGATCTTCAGTTTGAACAACAAGAAGAAATTAATAAAGAAAAAAAAGAATTTAATTTAATTAAACAAGAAGTTGATGAAGTAGCAAGTAAGCAATTTCTCGTCCTAAAAGTACTTTTATTCTTTCAATAAAAAGAATATATAAAGTATAGATTAAACTGATTGACGAAACTAGAGTAAAATCATCTGTCGCATAATAACAGTAAAATACCCCCGGTACATTGATACTATTTTTAAAAACAAACATCAGTTGCGTTGGTAAATTCCACTTTGGCCGACGCTGAAGTTCACCGAATGAATTTCTCATCGAAAGCCCATACACACTGCATATAATTGATCTTATAGGCAATGATTTGTATTTCGGATAATTAGTCTATGATACCAAATCAGTTGATCTCCAAGTGAAACTACTTCCAAGTTAGACGGTTACCAACTGACATGGTAGCCATTGTCTTGGAAGTCGTCCGATTTGGAGATCAACTGATTTGGTATCATAGGCTAATTATCCAAAACACAACTGTTGCTTATAAGATCGATTCGGTAAATTTCATTTTCGGCGAAATGCGTCTTCAGCGAAGTTTAGCTAAATCATTTTCTCCTCCGTCTTATCCTCACCCCTCTAGATTCAGACAGTATACATAGTTGATGTTTCGTTTTACCTGAATGTGGTTCTCCCAGAATGTCATTTGATAATAAATTCATAACAATCGCTTTGCTTCAAACTATGACTATATAATTTGTTTTAAAATTTAGATTTACTCTCATTACCATTGGCAACAACGACAAAAAACAATAATTCGCCTTAAATGTTTTCTCAATTTAATCTGTTATTTTTTTTTCTATTCAAATATTTTGATTGTCAAACAACAAAAACTTTCATTACATTTTGCATAATCTAATTATATGTATCGATATTTTATTTTAAAGTTAGAGTAATCGATTCATTCCTATGAGAATAACAACATATTTCGATTCCTGTTAATTTATCTAGATACATAATGAATTATTTTTTTTTCTATTTTCATTTCAGATTATTATAATCGAGATAATATCAAAAATATTTTTTCTCAATGTTATCCTCATTAAGACGTCAAATTAACGTGAAAGATCTCTTTCCAACTCGATGGAGTTTTATTATTTTTATCTCATATATGGGTTTATTTATTAATCAAGGTTAATTGGATATTTTTGGAAAAAAAAGAATAATTATTTTTTCTCTGTAATAGGTTTATTAGTAACTGGATCAAAAACTGCAACACATTCATATAATTATAATACAATTGTAGTTGTTTTACTAACTGAATTTACAAAACTCGTTGCTGCACTTACTATTTACCGACAAACGTAAGTATTTAATAATACAACAAATTTTTGATATATAAAATTTTATTTTGTAGTCATTCATTTAATCAAATGCGAACAGATATAATGAATAATCGAACAGGTAATAGCAAAACAAAAGTAAGATTATTTAATAAATATACAGATTTAAATAAACATTATTGAAAGTATGTACAGAAACGATTTAGATTTAAACGATTATTACGTTATCTTACTAGAAACGAACGAAAATGTAGGTTATGCATGAATATAGTTAAGGTATATTAACAATAGATAATAAAACTATTAATAAATAATTTTGTAACAAAAAATATCATAAAGATTTATATATTACTTAAAAATTTCATTTCGTAATGATGACCCGACAGAACGTCGCAGGTGTATGGCTCGGTGAGGGTAAAAGTGTGTGTGAAGATACATCGAATATCCACGTACATACACTGTCCAACATTAAAAATTTAATAGCAGTTCGTTTTGAACCCTAGAGTGAGCTGCGACGTTCTGTCCTAGCGCCGAACAGTCAATGATCAGCAACTCATAAGGCTGGTCTTGTCCGCTCAGTAGAAAATCTAGATTAATTTTATTATTTTCTAAATATGAATCGCGTTCATCACTTTGTGGGCATGTAATAAAAGTCATACATGAATCATCTCATTGTTTATTAGTATCTTGTGAGAACGATTTTCCTTGCGGAAATCAAAAAAGGAAATAATATCGGAAGCTCCTATTGCTAAAAAACATTCCGGTTTTTATTTCAAATCCATTAAAACATGTTTTTTTTATTTCTAATCGACATAAAATCAATAGATTTACAAACATATAAATTTAAATGTGTAACGTTTAGTTATAAATAGAATTTTTACATTAATCAAAGTATAGACATCGATGTAAAACTTGCTTTAATAATAACTGTCATAAATATGCCTTCGCTATGTTGATCAAACGACTAAAAAAGCATCCCGGATAAAAGTCATTTTTGTAAACTGCTATTATTTACACGCTATACAATTAACAACTTTTCAATACCATTGACATTAATCCTGATAAAAAATAATTTTATGTTTTTCTTGCTTTAGTATTACTCCTTTATTTTATCCCATCAGCATTATATTGTTTGTATAACAACTTAGCGTTTATAAATTTATCATCTTATGATCCGACAACATATTTTCTACTTCTTCAATTTCGTGTTGTTGTTACAGGAGTTATATTTCAAGTAAAATATATTTATTTGATTTCATTTCTATATCTTTGCTTTTCAAAAAATTTAGTTTCTTTTTCATAAACGTTTGACACGTCTTCAATGGATATCTTTATTACTTCTTACATCGGGTTGTATAATCAAACAATTTGAGCATTCATCATTGTCAATCAAAATCCCTCTGTTAAAATCAAATTCTACTCTGTCCAATTTAAAAGATAATTCTATATCAAAAAATGCTTCCATAATTAATATACAACTTATATGGATACTTGTTCAAGTATTTTGTTCATGTTTTGCAGGTGTTTATAATGAATATTTATTAAAAAGTGATCGTACAATTCAAGTTGATGTTATGTTACAAAATGCTTTTATGTATATTGATTCAATTTTATGTAATACACTATTATTACTCTATTTCGATTATCAACAACCAAATTTATCAGCTATAGATAAATTTTCTAATACATTAAAATTAATAACATCAGGCAAAGAAAATCTTATTTTATTAATTATAATTAATAATGCTGCTGTTGGTATTGTTACATCATTATTTCTTAAATCAATGACATCAATATTAAAAACATTTGCTAGTGCTTTAGAATTACTTTTTACAAGTATACTTGCTTGGATAATTTTTTCAATACCTGTTAGTATTTATACATTTATTGCTATATTTATTGTTTCATGTGCTGTTTATTTATATTCGATAAATCCTGTTGTTAATTTACCAAAAAATATTCTGTTAAATAATGAGATAAATTCATCCAATGATAATAATACTGGAGGTGCCAATTCAAAACATGTCAATGTTGAAATTGAACAAGGACGACGTGTTAATGTTTAAACTTTTATACTTATTTAATTTTATTTAGCTTTGTTTTGACTTCTTTGTTTTTTTGTTCAATGATATATGACAGCATGATATTTCATTTTATACTATAAATTTTAATAATAACAGTTTCTTTAAAAGAATTTTTTATCTATATTATTGGATCAAGAACAGTGAGCTTCGAGTTTTTCGATAAATCGTAGCTTGTAACTGTGTGGTTTTTTTTCTTGAACATCACTAGTCGATTCAGCACAGTTCAGAGTATCTCTTAGAACAATCAAAAACAGATGATTATTCTCTTTCTCGTAAAGAAGAGTCCAGTAAACATAAATTGTTTGCTTGTGTGTCCGCAGGGTCAAAAAAACATCGAAGATCAGTTTTCTGGAAAAGACATTTCTATAGGTATTTCGATGCGAGGACTTTGATTTTGAGATTTGTTGGGTGACCAAGGGGAAAGGGGGACAGGTCAAAAAAACATCGAAATTGGATTTTTCACGGTTTTCAATTATTTTTCCAGTAGATGTGAAGACGATACATTTTCACGAGAAAGAGCTAAGCGAGTCCTCGAACGAGCGTTACTTGTAGTTTTTCGCGAAAACTTTCACATCTGTAAACTTCAAATTTGGAGCACACTTAACTTGACTATAGTATTGTTGTCATACATTATATTTGATTGATTAACATGGTATTGCATAATTTTCTGAAAATGATATGATACTTTTTTTGAATAATTATCATTATTTCAAAATAACTACTAATGTAGGAAGATAAATATAATTTTGTGCCAGTTCTTTTATTATATAGTGCATTGAGCAGAACGTTATAATTATGAAGAGAGATTTGACATGATTGTTATTTGACTGAACTATTCTTAGATATACGATCTTTTACGTAGATTGATAAGATACAATTATGTTTAGACTTAAAAGTCACCGGAATTTCGGATGGAAACGGAATTCAATGTTTTCTAAATGTTAATTATGCTTGTCAATTATTTAAGTTTGATTTTTTAAATCTATTTCATCAAGAATAAAATATGGGTACATTGATGAATCATAGGATTGTAATATTAGAGATGAGATAAAAGCATAATTAATGTCATAGAATAGATCATTTATCATCTGTTATTTCCTATGATTCTTTTGTTAAGTTGAAAAAATCTTTTCTAATCTTTAATAGATTTATTTTAAAAGAGACATTTCTTTTGTTATCGAAAGAAAGATTATTTGGATTATCTTTATTCACTATTCTAATACTTAAAGCTGTTTATAGATTATGTTATTTGTAATTAACTATTAATTGTAGATTTCAATACTATAAACAAATATATCGTTACAATTTATCTGTAATAACAAATATTTTCGTTTGAATTATTTTTCTATATATATATAATAAGAAAGTCTCAAGCGATATATTCGATTAGTTTTGTTTTTTTGTTAATCATAGCGATCGGTTAACCGACATGTTATTCTATTAAAAAATCAAAAAATATAATCATATGATGAATAACAATAATTTCTATTTTTTTTTT